ACCACCACGCATGAAACAAACATTCACAATGTCCCACAGCTATATGCCCCCACCGTAATAGCCCTCCCCGTACCAGTAGTACAGGGCTCAACGGGCAACACTACCCGTCCTCCACACAAAAAATTTTTGGCTGATCGTGTACGACACCGGCCGAGCCGAGCCGAGTTTTAGTAATTGCCGAAATTTTAACTTTCTGGGCCCGGCCGTGCCGTGTTTTAACTTTCTGACTCCGGCTGTTCCACATTTTAACTGTCTGACTTTGGCTGTTCCACGTTTTGATTTCTTTGGACTGTTTGCTTGTTTTAAGGTTACGATTTGACCCTTTAACGGCTGCGATTTATTATTCAGTGGCAAGTAAGCAGGAACTGAATGTAGTGAGGTTTTAGAAGAAAAAAGAGGGGAAGCTACCAAATCAGCAGAAAACCCGGCTGTAGGGCTGTAAAAAACGTGGGGAAAAACTCGGGCCCACTTTTCCTTCTTCTTACTCAGATGCAAATAAACGACCATCTACGCTCCCCTCCCCTTTTCCTCACCGAATCCATTCTGGAATCGCGGGTGACGGCCGTTGCCGAAGATTGTAATGTGATATCTATTACAGGAATACGGACGATCCGACGAATCGAAGTCTGCGTGTATCTTCAGTATCATTCGTCCACGTCTACCGTTTGAGTGCCTTTCATCAACCGATCTATTCAAACCAGCGCTGGTGATTCGTCGATTACCCATTCTGTTCAGTGTCAGTGTCTCATACAATGAACTACCCTTTTTTCTCTGGTCCAGCCTAGCACCCTAACTGCTTCCGCCCTTGTTTCGAGTTTAAAACCTACCGGCACTTTGGGCCGGCGAAGGAAAAACTGCTAACTGCATGGAAACCAAATTGTGAAAAGAGCTTTTCAAGATAGTTGAGATGTAGAAAAAATTTATTAATTTAACACTGAAATGACAAAAATATCGACAAACTTCAACTTTTCCATAAATCTCTTCCACAACCTCGTGCCTTTTTTTTTAGGCCGTTGCATCTGCCCCCCTCTCCCTCTCGCCTGTCCCCTCAAATTTAGATTTTTTTTTCCTCCAGACGGGGTTCACAACTCAACAAAAACGATGTTTCACCTCTCCTCCCTTGTCCGTACGTTGCTGGCTTTCACGCACCCTGATAATGCTCTTATACAGTACCAGACGTAAGGTCTACTTTTTCGCCTGGCATCATCTTATCCAGTAACAACTAACTAATGTGGCGGTCCTGTACGCGGGTACCAAGCTTACCCGGGGGATGGGTTTCAGTGCATTAATGCCTACTTGGACGGGGAACATACCAATAAGGTTTCAGCTTCTAGCTTCTCAGATCCCCGAGTTATGAAAAAGCAGATTGGCCCTGGAAGTGTAGATGGCGAAGGTGCGAAGGAATTCAGGAGGAAAGCAAAACTGAAAAAACAGATTAATCAAAAGTCTCATTTTCCATTTTTTAGTGACAGCACATTTCAGCGGCAAACCACCGACTGGTAGGGGGTCACCGATAGCTTCTTCTTTCGAAAGCTGCCTAAAAACTAAGAAAATGGTAGTTCAGCAAAGGTAGCACATAACAAACGAAATAGCTACGACAAACATGAGAAACAAAGCCTATGAGATAAACATGAAAAACAAAGCCCACGAGATAAACATGAAAAATATCATCGAAATATCAAAATCAATCGTCATTTCTACTTCCTGGATAGTACATCCGATCACGATCCATATCCGGATTTCGTCGCTTTCTCGAGCCCTGCGAAGTGTACGACGAATCATTGCCAGAATTCCTCCAACCTTCCCATCCACCACGTTGCCTGCCAGCTCTCCATGGACGTCGTTGGCCACCACTACCACTGAAGCAATTGAACATTTTTTTTTTGTATCAATAAGCTGAAGGGCCGGTTTTTATAATTATATGAAGGCAACAATGTTGTGCGCTTTACAAAAATCACAAGACTATTATTTGCCAAAAAATAGCCTCCGCACACGCACATACACACGCATACATACACACACACATGCATACACATACATATGCATATGCAGAAATATAGCAATAATACCTAAGCTGTTGGTGTGAGGCTTACGATGTGATGTAGTGGTGCCAAGCGGAAGCAAAAAAAAATTTTAGAAAATTTTAGCAAAAAAAAGCAAAAAAAAAAAAAAATTTTAGAAGCAAAAATTAGAAATTTATCAAGCTCTGGCGATCTTAGAAAATTAAAAGTTTACAGTGGTCGGGAAAGGAAGTAAAGGAAGAAAGAAAATTACCGAGAATATCTGTCATTGAAGGATCGTTTTGGTCTTGGATTCCAAGGATACAGAACTATAGGATCCGGAAAACCATTTGCAATTTCCGCATAAAGGACATTATCCTAAAAATTACAGCTTCAGTTAGATTGATATTTTGTTATAATAACTTAAACATAATTTGTTAAATACAACATTAAGGTAGTTCATGAATACTTCCGGTCCAATAAGAGTCGTATACATTTCTTACCGTTACCACAACTGGACCTCGTCAGTATATCCAGTGATCCGAACCATTCCCAGGCAGCACTTACAGTCGCTATATTTGGTTTTTTTTCCCTACAGTCATTGGGGGTTTCTAAGTTGCCTACCGCTCTCAGGTTACCGAACTGTCATGTCCGAAGGGGCTACCGATCCAAAAGACAAGTAAATCACGGAATTACCATTGTATAACGATCAGCGAACATCCGGTCCAGTTCATCGGCAGTTCGTTGATTGACAAAATCTGTCAGATCAGGAAAATCTTCGTCCCCTGTAAATATTGAAAATACAACGGGAAAAAACTAACCTTTTATAAAAAAGCTTCAAAATATCGATGTATCGCTATGCCAAAATATTAAAAAAAAAAACCCTCAGTGTGAGCGAAAGAAAAAAAAAAGATTTATTGTATGTTTGATGAATTTCCGTGAGCTTTCCCAAGGCAATGAACCATATTCCGAGTCGGGAAAGGGAAGGGAAAATTCGGGAAAAATTCGATAAACCTAATTTCTATGGCTCCAAGCTGCCATTGTACAATGTTTTGAAACGCAAAAACAATTCCCATTTCATTTCTAATTACATCATTACCTATCATGGAAAAGGGAACTTGAGCCAGGAGACAGGACATTTGCATATATCACATTGGAATCGAACGGCAACTGGGCAAGGCGAAGGGGTTTAGGCGGCAGTTTCGTTTCTTTGCTGTTAACAAATTGTTTCTTTTGCAGTACAGAAAGTGGGAAAGTTGTCAGCTGAGTAGCTGTAGAATCAGACTATAAATTACAGCTAAGCAAAGTTTAAGTATCATACGCATTTTCAGACATGAAGATTTAGCTGCCCCCTTCTAACTTCTTTCAAAATTCCCTGGCCACACGCAATAGTACAAAATTTTTGCACAATAAGAGTGTGAAATAAGTATTTCAAAAAAAAAAAAAACAAACCTTCACTGTTCGTGCTTATTTTTTTGGCGGATTTGGAAACCTCGAGCTCCGATTTCTCGGATTTATTCATTTCGCTTGGCCCCGCTTCAACAATTACTTCGTTATCACTCATTATCCTCGTCCTTCCCCCAAAAATGAATACCCTTAACAACAGAAGATAACGCCAAGCAATTATGTAGACTCGGCAATTCCTAAAGCTCGGCTTGGTTCCGCTCGGCCAGCGCCATACACGATTTGCAAAAATTTTTTTTTGGTAATGGCACGTAAGCCGGCAATTACAAATCCTTGCCTGCAGAGAGCAGCATCGGGGCATCCACCACCTCCAGCCACTGTCACCGTTTATCGTCTTGAACTCCTAACCGGCAACTTCATTCCCGGCCATTATACTGGTCTCAGTCGTGCCCTCTGAGCTGTATCTAGGCAACTACCAACCAACATCCCCCAAACACGTCCTATCCTCCCACCCATCACCATTCGACCAAGCGATCCAGCCGCCAGACACTGGGCAGCGCTACCTAGCGCGTTCGGCAAAGTTTCAACGAGCGGCGCCGCGAAACAGTGTTGGGGGAGATGTTAGAGCTGTTAGAGTTAGTTAGGTGTTAACCCAAAGTTAGCCCAAATCCAAGCAGAGTTAGAGATGTTAGCCCAAACACCATTGCAGGGAAAAAAGTGGAAGTGGCCAACTTTTTCACCTTTAGCCAACGCAAGGATATTTAAACGAAAATGTGCGAATTACAAACTTGATTTTTCTGTACAACATCACAGTCATCAGTGGTAAAGTTTTATCATCCAGCAATAAAACAGAATAAGAAAAATGACAGTAAAAATAACAACGTAAACAAAGGCAGTTCTCTGAAAGATCACTGTTCATTAAGCATAACAATTTGCCCAGCATGAGCGATTATAAAATTCAATGTGTCTGCAGCAAAAAAGTGAAAAAACAAAGATTTAAAACAAAAATTTTCT